AGTCGAAAAAAAAAGGATTTGAAGGAATAATTAAATTAGGATTAAAGACATAATTAAAATTTTACATATAAATTTATTTACTATGTATACATTTACACATTATGCTAGATTAATTTTTAAATTCAAAATTCGAGCCTTCTCGATGGTAAATAAACAACTCCTTTTTTTCCATAGTCTCGAATAATTTCTTCAACATATCTTCATCTTTTTCTAACGCTAAGCTTACTCGCTTAGGTAGAAAAATTTCAAATTCGTCGTCTACGGTTATAACAACACTGAATCCATAACGAGTATTCAGCCATCTTAATTTCGTTATCATATAGGTGCATATTATATAGGTATTATTTTCTAATTGCGCCATTGTTTTTCTTGGTAAGAATGTCGATTTGGCTATTTTGTTAATTAATGAAAAATCCATTCTACAATAAAAAAAATCAATCAATAATTAATACTACTAGGATATAGTTAGAGCGCTACTCGTATATAAGAAACTTACTTTTAAGAGAAAATCTAGAAGTCGAATAGGAGAACTAGGAAGAGAGACTACTGCTGTTGCTTCAACCTACTGCTGAATAACTGCGACGAACTGAGGTGTGTTCTCCGTTTTGTACCATGCGTCCCCTCTCTGAGAACTCGAGCCGCCGTAATTTCCCTCTCTTTTCGCCTTATCCCCACTTGAGTAATTTCTCATATGATTCCATTGTCCATACTCCTCAGACTTCAGTCGCCATGTCTGCCGTTGTCCCCCACTCTACCGTTGTCCCCACTCTCTCACTATTCTATCCTTAGTCTTTTTCTAACTAAGCCTTCTTCCTCCCCATTATTACTACTCTGTTCTGAGCGACTTCTATCGGAGGTTGGAGGAAGCTTACAACTTTCTTAAGGATTTTCTTCCATTTCTATGATCTTTCTTTTCCTGCGTTGTTCCGCACTCTTGATTTTAAGCTTTCATGTTTCAATGTTTTGTAATGACCCCATGGAAGTGTATCAGGATTTTTATCGAATATACATCGTTTATCATCATATGGACTTAGTGCTACTTTCTGCACTCTTTCTGTTCTTACTTGGTGCAATACACTTCGTATATTACATTGCTCACGCCTAATAATTTCTAAATCCAATAAACAGTTTCGAAAATCTTCATGATCTATTGTTTTTATGACAGTATGTGTTTTTACGCCTTTTGCTTTCTTTATTGCTTGATGGTTTTCTATTAGTATACTATACATTTTACTTCGAAGTCCAATGAATTCTCTCATAATGTTATCCTTGCATTCATCTTTCATAATACCGAGAACCTTTTTATTAACTAACGGCATATTAAACTGATTTTTTTCTGAGTAATCTGATGTATCAAATTTATTGATATCTTCTTTAATTATTTCATATATATCAACATCTTGAAATTCATATACGAGGCTATCTGTATCAGTATAAAGTAATTTTGCTTTATGAGGTAGTCTTTCTTTTATGTAGCCATAGTGGAAGTCATATACTAATGTTTTTGAGAGATCTAGCACACAAAGTCCAATATATATTGGTTTTTTAATACTAATAGACGTCCATGATAACTGTATTGCTACTAAATTTTCATCAAAGATTGAACTACTATGAAAGTTGGGTTGTGCGATCCCTGCTTTTGCTCCATATCTGCCACTCCATGCACTAATTAATTTAACGTCTTTTCGTTTCCTTTCATCCTCCATAGTCTTTCCGTATACTGCATTAATCATGAGTTTATAGAATAACTTTTCAAATTCATTTTTAGCTTGTTTTCTTTTTTCTGTATTCAAATCTACATAAGTTTTAAGCCACGGCTTTTGATTAAACTGAAGTGCTCTGTGTATTTGTTTTATTTTGAGTCCGTATTTAATAGCCTGTTTTAGCGCTCTATAATGAATGACATACCGTTCTTTATTATACAGTGTTGTTAAAAGTTTTTTTGTCTTAATCCAGGTGGTGTGTTATGTTCAGGACAAAGTGGAAGGTCCTTATGTTCGTCGTGTAGTTCTTTTGGATACTCTAGATCAACTTCTAAAATATATCCAACTTCATTATTATCGGAAACATTGAAAAAATAAGGCTCATCGATGTTAGAGACCCACTTAAAAATTTTATATGGTAATGATTGCATCATCGCCCATACATATAAATTGTTAACGTCAAAGTACATCAAAGTCTTGCTAGGTTCTTTTTCATTATATTCCGAGCCTATATATTGATTATTAGCTTTTGAGTATCTATTACAGCATTGACTAATACCTCCTCGAATACCTTTTTAGATGAATAAAACCATGTCTATATCGGTTAAAAGTTCATGCTCAATTTTTGTACACTTTAACATAGCATCCCATGTTAATCCAGGAGTAGTATAATAGTGTGCTGGGTCGAGTTGATACGCATCCATACAAGTTTTACGAAAATATTCAAAAATATCGGCCAAGAGTAATACGTCAGTTTTTAAATATAAATCAGAATACTGTCCTAAATAAATGATGTCAAATGCATTCCACACTTTTTGAGCATGCTCATAGTCAGCTTCAGAGATGTTTCTATCTATCAATTAACTATGAAAATCTTCGATAGGTGGTAATTGAGTCTGTTTTAATCTTTCAAAACTGTTAACATACTCATATGGAAAAACGCCTTTTCTCTTCAATAATTCTATTTAAGTTTTTATATATTTATCTATCTTGAATTCATGCTCTACGATATTTAGTTTGGTTAAGTATGAAGACAGTTTTTCGAGAGATGATGGCATAAAACGAAACGAATCAATAAATCGAAAATTTATAGTACTACCGTCCACGTGTTTTGTGAAAGCTATATATCTTTCCTTGTTTTCAGCTAAAACAGTCACATTTCCCTTAAGATCAGAGCTAGTAGCTATTTCTTTTATTATAAAATGAGAATCATATCCAGTAAGGTTATGGAAGACGACTGGTATAAAATAAGGATTCTTATAATTTAAATTATAGGATGCGTGAGCAGCACCTCTAAATCGGCCCGTCAAATGGCAATGATCTCTAACTCTTGTTTCATTATGTTGAAAATATTTTCTACAAATATGACACATTTTGCTCATCTTGAAATCCATTTAATTACGCCATGCTATTCATTTCTATTGCATTCTTATATATTTGATTCATTTCATCTAACAAAATCTGAAATTGTTTGATAATCCATTGTGCGGGTGATTGTTCTTCATTCAGTTTTTTTCTATACATCTTAAAGACTGATTTGGAATCATGATAACTACATTTTATATAAAGCCCCACACTAAAGGCTTCATGATCTTGGAAGGATCGTCCATTATTTACTGGTTTCAATAAGCACTCTAAATCAGCATAGATAATAAACGGAACCATTTCTTTTCGATCATAATGATTAAATTTCAGAAGAGGAAAATTAGGTAGATTAACTCTATATTTATTTAATTTTGAACAATCTGTCTCATGAATATTCAATTTTTCTTTATTATTAAAATAGTGGAGACAGCGTTCACAGAGTTAAATTTGTGCAGTATGTTTCCTTACTTGACTTCTAACAAGAGCAGATAAGTTTTTAATCCATACATAGTGGAATTTTAATTTGAAATTATCATTGTTATTTGATCTATTAGATTTTTTTGTTTCATTCTCATCAATATAATCGCTTTGTAGTTACAAAAGATTTACGTTCTTTATCTTGTTTTAAATTTGATATATAATATGGTGAGACTTTGAATTTAAAACCGTATTATTTAGTATATATAGATTTATTGAAATACTATTTAATTTTTCAAATTTAGGAATATTCTTTACCTCAACAGGAAAGTTTATATCATCGAATTTCAATTCATTCGCAAAGGGCATATAATTTTGAACTCTTTCGCTATGAAATCTAGCTGGATGAAGACAGGCAAGCACAGCCCATTTAAAACATTCATTATCTGTATTTTGAACGTTGATAATTGCTTTTTTATCTGCTATTTGTTTTGGTAGTTGAATATATGAGCCAGGTTTGAAAGGATTAAATTTATTTATATTAACAGTAATACCGATGATAGTTTTTAATGTCCGACCGGAATCTTTTTCTTGAAATTCTTCTAAATTTTTAAGTATAACATCTTCAATATTTTCTATAAACCATAATTTAAGATCTGTCGTTCTATAAATAGAAACATTTTCGGTGATGAAATACTTTACTTGAATGTCCTCTACTGAACAAATTGGACAATTCTTTAGTAGAAATTCCAAGTTAAATAATCAAGACAGAAATTCGAATCACCTATAAGAAAGAATTTCTAAGTCTCATGTATATCCAGTTCTTTGAAAATTAATACGGATAAGGTTGTGTGAATATTGAATAAATAAAGGATATGGATTTATTTTTATTATAATTTTATCAAGTATAGTTAGGCTCGTATTTATCCGGCATAAAAACCACAGTCATAAGTAGGGAAAAGCCATCTAAATATGAGCAAATACAATCGACAAATGTACAAAGAGTTATGCTACTTATTTATAATTAATAGATTTCGGCAGGCTCGCTTTGCCTGTGAATGGCCATTCAAGTTAAAAACTACTCGCTTACCACACGACGCTTGTTAAGGCGCTGGCGCAGGGGGCTGAGGCGGTAATCTCGTCGGGATTGAGGTGACGCAGATACAAGATCCTTTCACTTGAATACTTTATTGGCCACCACTTGGGGTGACAGAACAGGCCGAGATTACAAGGTCGCGTTAAATGATAGTTCTGGCGGTGGAGAACGCAGGTCGATGCTGGCCGAAAGTTCAAGGCAAACTGAGCTTGGAAGCGGCGGTGGCGTTATCCGGGGGGGGGGGGGGGGGGAGGGGTCCAGTCTTGCCCCCACTTCAGGGCCCGCGTCGTTATCCTCTCGTCGGGGGATAGAGGAAGGGGGAGCCTGGGCTCGAGCCGCGCGAGGCCGGGCAACTCGACCAAACATCCCGCCCGCCTCGTTCCGAGAACGACCTGCTGGTGTTGTAGTCGCCATGCGCCCTAGGGTGGCTGCTCGATGAGACCAAGGGCTGGCAGGGGCGCCAGCTTGACGACTGGCCGTACATACTCCCCGGCGGCGGTCCGGATCTTGGCGGAGCGGACGAGGCCATCCGGTCCTGGGTGGGTGGCGACTATATGGCCAAGAGGCCATCGCCCATCTGGGCGCAGAAGAGTAGGATCGGTTATGACCACAAGGTCGTCGACCTGGAGGTTAGGTCGAATGGTCCTCCACTTGGGGCGCTGGCGCAGGGTATTCAGGTACTCGCGGCCCCAGCGGTCCCAGAACAGCCCGCGCATGGCTCGGACGAGCTCCCAGTGCTGTGTGCTCTCCAGGTTGGTGGTTGCGGGGAGCGGCTGCGGAATTGAGGTGGCAGAGGTTCCGAAGAGAAAGTGGCTCGGTGTCAGAGCGTCCAGATCGTCGAGGTCTCCGGTGGGCGGCGCGAGCAGTCGGCTGTTCAGAGTGGCCTCGATGGAGATGAGGAGTGTGGTAAACTCCTCGTAGGTGAGCTTTTTGGGGGCAGCAATGCGGTGAAGGTGGGCCTTCATGCTCTTCACGCCGGCCTCCCAGAGTCTGCCGAAGTGAGGGGCAGCGGGGGGGATGAACCTCCACGAGACGCCGACCTGTGCTAGCGTCCCTTCAACCAGCCCCCAGTCGATTTCGGCCTCCTGCAGCAGTCGTCGAAGCTCCAGGCTGGCACCGCGGAAGTTGGTGCCATTATCGCTCCAGATCTCGTTGGGGCGTCCTCTCCTCCCGATGAATCGGGTGAGGGCTCCGAGGAAGCTGGCCGTCGTCAGGTCGTCGACGAGCTCTAGGTGGATCGCTTTCGTGCTCATGCACACGAAAAGCGCCACGTATCCCTTGATGGTAGGGAGTCCCCGTCCGCGGCTTCGGCAGAGTGGAAACGGGCCGGCATAGTCCACGCCGCAGTGACTGAAGGGCCGCGAGGGGGTCACCCTCACCGCGGGGAGGGGGGCCATCCCTTGGGCGGTGGTCCTTGCGGAGATCCGGGCGCAGATCAGGCACTGGCGAAGGTAGCGCTTGACGCCCAACTTGCCGCCGGTGATCCACGACTTCTGCAGAACTCTCGCGTAGGTAGAGCGAAAGCCTCCATGCAGGCTGCAAGCATGGGCCCATCGGAGGACGAGCTCTGCCAGGTGCGAGCATCCGTCCAGGAGGACGGGGTGGCGCTCGTCGTAGGACAGTGGAGATTGGGAGAGGCGTCCGCCCACTCTCAGGAGTCCGTCTTCGTCTAGGAAGGGTTCCAGCGCGCTGAGTGAGGTCTGGAGCCGGGGCGCGGGTCCTTGAAGAAGCTTGATCTCATCCGCGAAGGTTTGACGTTGCGAGAGGCGGGCGCAGGTGAGAAAGGCCCAGCGGAGGTCAGCGGCTCGGACAGGCCCCAATGGTCTGGGCGAGTTAGGCGTTGACCCGGTCAGCAGCCGGTGGGCCCTCACGGTGCCGCGGAGGAGACTCCCTAGCGTGGAGAAATTCTCGAGGTGGTTCCGGGCTTGGTCCTCCGTGGCGGCAGGGCTTTGGCGACGAGCGAGCGAGACCAGGCAGGCGGTGGTGCTGTCGTCCGGGCCTATAGACGGTGGGTCGTCGGCGAGGGCGGTCTGGGGCCAGGTGGATTCGGGGCTGGACAGCCACTTCGACCCGGTCCACCAGAGGCGGTGGCCCTTGAGGGCGTCTGAACCGACGACCCTAGAGGCGATGTCCGCGGGATTGTCGGTGGTGGGCACGTGGTGAAGGGTTGCTCCGGCAACCAATTTCTGGACGTGGGCGATGTAGTTGTCCACGAGGTCATTCCCCACCGGTTCGTCGGACTGCAGCCAATGCAGTGCGACGCGAGAGTCGCTCTAAAGGTGGCAGGCCGAGATCGGGACCTTGAGGGTGGAGGCGGTGGTGGTGAAAAGCTGCGAGGCGATGAGAGCCGCGCGCAGTTCCAGTCGCGGGATTGTCATGCGCAGGCGTCCGGTTGATGCTGGCTGGAGGCTCTTGATGGAGGAGAGCTTCGTCCGAGCGTTGAGTAGGGCGGTGGTGACGCTTCCGTCCTTGTCGGTGACCCGCGAGTAGACTGCGGCGGCTAGGGCGCGGCGGCTGGCGTCGGCGAACGCGTGGAGCTGGAGGTTCTTGTCGGGTGCGAGCCTGATCCATCGGGGGATGTCGATCTCGGTGGCCGCGAGGATCGTGGAGCGGAATGCGGACCACTTGTCCTGCCACGCCTGTGGGAGGATCTCGTCCCAGCTCAGCATCGCTCTCCACAGATCCTGCACGATCATCTTAGCCACGAGGGTGATTGGCGCCAGCCATCCCGCCGAGTCGAAGATACTGGAGAGCTCGGCGAGGGCCTTGCGCTTAGTCAGCTGAAGCCCAGGATGAGGCGAGGCGGGAGGCTTGAACCGGAATCGGTCGGTGGTCGGGCTCCAGCCTACTCCGAGCTCAGTAACTGGTCCGTCCGCCGAGAGATGGACCCAGCTGGGTCGAAGGTGATCGTCCACGGCGATGTCCTCAAGCAAGACGGGGTCGCTGGCCTCCCACTTCCGCAGGTGGAAGCCGCCCGCCGTGAGGAGCGCGATCAGCTGGTCCCTGAGGCGTCGGGTTGTCTCCAAACTGTGGCCGCCGCTGAGGAAGTCGTCCATGTAGAGGTCGTTCTCAGCGCCCTCGTCGGCGCAGAGCTGTCTGATGGTCCGGAGGGCCAGGTAAGGTGCGCAGGCCTCGCCGTAAGTGACGGTTTGCAGCGCGTAGTGGTGGGCGGGGGAGTCTGCGTCCTGGCTCCACAGCACTCTCTGGAGGTGGACGTCCTCTGGCCTCACGCGGATCTGGCGGAACATCATCTGGATGTCCGCACAAAAGGCGTAACGGTGCAGCCTCCACCTAGTGAGCACGGTGGCCACGTGCCCTTGTAGCTTCGGCCCGGCGTGTAGCGCGTCGTTCAGGCTGTATCCCGAGGATGTGGGTCTCGAGGCGTTGAAGACGACGCGCAGTTTCCGTCCTCGATCGTGACGTTGCCAGATTCCGTGATGCGGGATGTAGACGGCCGGTCCCTGATGTGCGGCGAGCTCCTCGGCAGTGAGACGCCGCATGTGCCCGAGGTTCTCATACTCGGCCATGAACTCGTGGTAGCGGCCCGACAGTTCCTGGTCCCGCTGCATCCGGCGGTGCATCGAGGCGAGGGCGGAACGAGCCTGGCTCAGGCTCTCCCCGAGGAGAGCGACGCGTTCCGGTCGTAGCGGGAGGGCCACGGTGTAGCGCCCTGTGGGGTCTCGGCTGCATCCTCGAGCGAATGCTGCCTCGCACTCGACGTCGGCGGCAGAGATCCTTCTCGCCTGGGGTACCTCCTCCAGAGACCAGAATTTCTGGACGAGGCCGAGGAGGCGCTCGTGTCCGGTCGCTGGGCGCGGGATGGACAGCGTGGCGCAGGACAGGACGAAGCCCTGGTCGGCCTGTCCAGCGGCGGCCATGCGCCCGGTGAGCATTCAGCCGAACACAGTGTTCTGGGCTAGAAGCGGGACGTAGCTCCGGACGCCCGATTGGATGATCCGGCTGTAGGCGTCCACACCGATGACGATGTCAATTCCGGCCGGACGGTCGAATTGAGGGTCGGCGAGGGGCAACTCTCCCTACGGATCCGGGCGGGGCTTCTTGATGGCTCCGGAGGGGGTGACGATCCCGTCATCTCTCAGGACGAGCGCCTCAACGCGGATCAATCGGTCGCCGGAGGGAGATCTGAGGTGCAGCATCGTCTGGTGTCTCGCCGAGTCCATGGCAGGGCCGGCGACTCCGACAACGTCGACTTAGACGCGGCGCAGCCTGCAGCCGAGTCTGCGGGCGAGGGTGAGGCTCAGGAGGGTTGCCTCGGAGCAGGGGTCCAAGAGTGCTCTGCCCGGCACCGGCGGTGAGCCGTAGCTGCTGGCCTGGACGACGGCAGTGGGAAGGAGGGACAGTTATAACCGTTCCTCTTCCCTCGCCGCGACCTCTGGACAGGCTCGGGTGACGGCGGCCTGGACGCGGGGGGCCTTTGGCGCGGGATCCTCGTCCTCGTCGCGGTCGGCGGGACGTCTGGCCGGCCGGCCTGCTCCTTCGTGGATGAGGGTGTGGTGGGCCCCGGAACAGCTTCTGCAAGTCCCATTTGACGGGCAGGTCCTGGCCGAGTGCGAGCCACTCAAGCAGTTGAAGCAGAGGCCGCGGTCCGAGACGAGTTTCCGCCTTTCCTCAGGCGTCAGGCCGCGGAAGGTCAGACAGTGGCCAATATAGTGGGCTTCCTTGCAGGACGGGCATCCGCTCCGCTTGAGGCCAGTGGTGTGGGCCCGCACTTGTTGGCCGCTCGGCTGGCGCCCCTGGCTCTGGTCGGCCTTGCGGGATGCGTCGGATGCGCTGGCCGATTGAAGGAGGGTGGAGGTCGGGGGGTACAGCGACCGCAACGTCCGGAACCGCCGCTGGAGGAACTCCCCCAGCTATTCGAAGGTCGGCTCGCTGGTTTTCTCCTCTCTCTCCTCGTCCCAGACTCTTCGGGTGGCAGGGTCCATGGCTCGGCTGCCGAGATGGACGAACCAGTCGTCCCAACTGCCGACTGGCCGGCCGAGCTTCTCCAGCTGGGTGCGGTGACGTCTCATCGTGCAGCAAAGCTCCTGGATCTTCTCCGACGATTCCTTGGCGAGCGGCGTGAGGTGGAGTAGGGCGTCGAGGTGGTCTCGCACGCGCAGCTTTGGCTGATCGAAACGGCTGCAGAGGGCCTCCCAGGCCGTGGAGTAGTCGTGTCCTGACGACTTGAAGTCCCTGATTGCCTCGGCCGCCTCACCGTCGAGGTTCGTCTTGAGAAACAACATCTTCGTGGCGTCTCCCAGGCTGGTGTTGGAGTGCACGATGTCGACGAAGAGGTCCTTAAATGACTCCCACTCTTCGTCGAGGCCTCCGAACCGAGGTAGGGTGATGCGGGGAAGCCGGGCCAAGGCGACGTTTCCTCCGTCGTGAACGTCGAGGCCTCCGGCAGCGCTGGATGAGGAGGTCGAGGCGGGGCCCGGTGACCAGATCTCCGATGCGATCAAACGATCCCGGAGGTCGATGAGGTTCCCCTTGATTGAGGAGTACAGGTCCTCGGCGACGAAGTAGCGGTTGCTGCCGCGGTAGGCGTCTGGGTCGTCCTCGGTCGAGGTCAGGAGGCGGACGTGGTTATCGCAGAAGTTGGCCCAGTATCCCTCCACGAGCTGGAGCCGCGTCTGGAGTAGCCCCATCGTCCATTGATCGGCCGGGGAGCCGCGGACTCTATCCGCCGTCTGTTGCAGCACTTCCAATAGTGCTTGCTGGATGGCAGTGAGACTTATCTGGAAGGTGATGAGGGTTTAGAGGCCGCGTGGCGCTGAGGAGGGTTTAGAGGCCGCGTGGCGCTGAGGAGGGGGACGGAGTCGCCGTCTGTCGGCCGGGGTCGGGCGTCCGACGCTCCGGCTCAGCGCGCGTTCTTCGGCTCCTCCGCTCAGGGGTGTCGGCCGGATGCGTGTCGTCGCCGTCGGCACGGCGACGGGACGTGCGTCCGCGACGACCGAGAGCCTCAGCCGTGATGCGGCTGGGGGCCGTTCGGGGGGGGGGGGGGTCAGGTGTCGACCAGGGCTCGCCTGGCAGGGCGACGACGGCGCGTTGGCGTCGGCGAGACCCGGTGTCGTTGACGTCGACGGCGCGTCGGTGTCGACGAGGCGTTGCTGCTGTCGGCGGTGGCCATCTTGGACGCCGCTTGGCGTCGCTGCTGTTGGCGGCGGCCATCTTGGATGCCGCTTGGCGTCGCCGTCGTCCACCCCGGGCGCCGTCGCCGAGCTCGGCGTGGCCACCGGGTCCTCACCGGCGCACGCGGTCGGTCCCAGCCGGGCCTCGAAAGTCTGGCCTCCCTCGACACGTCCCATGCGCGTCGCTGGCGGTCATCTTGCTAGGACGCTCGTCCGCCGACAGCTGAGCTGGCCGGGGCGAGTCGAAGCTGGGGCTGAGGCGAGCGCGCCTCGCCTCTGGGCCGCGCCTGAAGTCGCGGCGACGCCGGGCTTCGGTCCAAGCGCGGCCGCCCGCCGTTAGGCCGACGTTCAGCCCAAATTAAATGGGGTACCTACCTCGATCGCTGTCCGGTATCCGGCTCGAAGGACCAAATGTTAAGGCGCTGGCGCAGGGGGCTGAGGCGGTAATTCCGTCGGGAATGAGGTGACGCAGATACAAGATCCTTTCACTTGAATACTCTACTAGCCACCACTTAGGGTGACAGAACAAGCAGAGATTACAAGGTCGCCTTAAATGATAGTTCTGGTGGTGGAGAACGCAGGTCGATGCTGGCCGAAAGTTCAAGGTAAACTGAGCTTGGAAGCGGCGGTGGCGTTATCCGGGGGGGGGGGGCTCCAGTCTTGCCCCCACTTCAGGACCCGCGTCGTTGTCCCCTCGTCGGGGGATAGAGGAAGGGGGGAGCCTGGGCTCGAGCCGCGCGAGGGCGGGCAACTCGACCAAACAACGCTAACTGCACCTTGTGCGAGAAGGAAGGTAGTCTCCTAGAGCAGCACAGTGCCAACGTCTTGGTCACGGGCACGGCCCGCACTATGCTACCCCTAAGAGTAGGGCCGAGTTGCTGCTGTCAGAGCTGCCCAGGATCGGAGACGCCTCAGAGGATATCACGCATATCCTCAGCTAGGCCAACGGGTGCCGGTAGCCCTTGTTACGATTGTGGGTTCGACAAGTCACAGGATAAAAGGCACGATACTGTGCTCGCATGCAACTGTCATCGACAGAACGTGACGTAAGATCAGGAACTCGCATTCACATTCAGCACACACGTTACCAGTGAAGGCTAGTACGATAAACTATCACAACGACGTAAACAATTGAAAGCAGTCAGTTAACTGAGAGAGCAACTAGGAGAGAATGCGACGAGGTGCAAGGATCGAGTTCTCGAGAGCTACTTCTGCTTCCTCCTTCCTGAAGAAGGATCAGAGAGTTTTCTCCAGCATTGGGCCTGTTCGTGGAGCCAATTAGAAATGCAAGGTTCATAGTGCCGAATTTCCCTCCAAACGTTTACCTGCGCGACAATTGCTGGACGACCATACCCCTTTTTTTTGTATTGCGTGCGCACCGCTGGAACTGCCGCACATGTTCATATTCTGGGGTTTCCCCATCCGCAAAAAGAGAAAACATTAAGCGACAAAGGACCGAATCTCCAAATAAACTTTCGCATTTACAACAACCAAAAAAAATGTTATAAATTATTACTCTCTACTTTCGTGCTATGCACATGGAGCGCAGATGCCGCGAACATCTACATTATCTTTTATTACGGTAAATTGAGCTGACATTTCTATATTTATTTTTAGAGCATTATGAATTGAAAGATATTTTGGTATTTATAGTTATAATAGTTTATTTGCTGATTTTAAGAATGACTTTATATCTGTATGTTCTTGATTGGCTATGAATGCAGTAATGATACGTTTTTCAAATGCTGAATTTATTTCACGCCAAATAACTCCGTCCCCTTCAATTTGGTTTGGAATGACTCGTAATGAATTAACATTTCCTCCGACTTTTATGGAATTATTTAAATTAATTTCGATTGAATTCAAATGAGTAGCGCATGTTTGATATCTCTGTCGTATTGCTCTACTTAAGTTAGGCCGTAACATATATTCTTCAAGAGAATGCAAAGCGGTAATTATTATATTTTTCCATCTAATAAAATCATCCTTATTAGCGTCTGAGTTGTAATAGGCTTTCCATAAATCGCGTACTGTATTTTCAAAATAAGAAATAGAAGCCATTGTAATGAAAATGCACATAGGATAACTAGTAATACTACTACTACTACTAGTAGTAGTACTACTACTACTACTACTAGTAGTAGTACTACTACTACTACTACTAGTACTACAACTACTACTACTACTAGTACTACTACTACTACTACTACTAGTACTACTACTACTACTACTACTACTACTACTACTACTACTACTACTAGTACTACTACTACTACTACTACTACTACTACTACTACTACTACTACTAGTACTACTACTACTACTACTAGTAGTACTACTACTACTACTACTACTACTACTACTACTACTACTACTACTAGTACTACTACTACTACTACTAGTAGTAGTACTACTACTACTACTACTACTGCTTGTCACTGCTAAGAAAGCTAGTGAAGCGGGCTGTCTCGAAAGACTGCGCTCTTTTCCAATCGAGCACGGCTTTTAAGCACTATGGTGGCGCTGAAAGCAGCGGTTCTGAGGGTTCACACTCAGCCAGCATAAGCGTCCTACTATCGAAGGACAGCGAGAGAGAGAGAGATTAGATTAGATTAGTTCGTTTATTGCGCCAATGAGGTGGAACCCCGTCTGGCAGTTTGGAAAATGTACATAACAAAATAATAACAAAATTTAAATATGACAAAATAGGAGATGCAAGGATGAAAAGTGACGCATTTGACTATTTGAAGGAGATGAATTAC